ATTTATATAAAATTTATAATATTAAATTTATATTTATTTAATAATATATATAAATAATATAAAAAAATTATCCCTACTTCTTTATGTAGTATGCATATATAAACAGCCGCAAAGCAAGGGACAATTTGAAGTTTTTTTTTTTATTTTTTTTATAAGAGTAATAATTAAAAAATTAATTATAATTAAATATTAACAACTAAAAATTTAATTTTCAAATCAAATAAACATTTCACTCAAAAAATGAGACTCACGGCCATCCGCCGCTTTGATGGAGTTTGGACATTTTGAAGTTTAAACCGTGTGTGGTTCGAAGAACAATCAGCTAACAATAAATTGTATCAGTTCAGACTCATCTCTTCAATTATTCCAAGGGTCAAACATGCCCGAAGCTGTAAGTTCCAAAAGCAACTTATGTATAAAAAAGAAAATAGAGAAAAAGAAATTTTAATCAAAGAGTTTATAAATAAACTTTTTTTATTTTATGATTTAATATAATTAAATCATAAAATTAATATTCTTAAATAAAGAAAAAAAAACGTATAATGTAGAAAGTTCAATATTAGAAATTTTTTAATTTAAAAATTATTATTTTATAATTTAATATAAAATGTATTTAATCTGTACCATAAAAACATAAATTAAAAATAAAATAAATATATTTTTTATAATTAATTTATATTAAAAATAATAAAAATTAATATATATTTTAATATCATTATACATGAATAATTTTAATTAATTAATTAATTAAAATTAATATTTATATTTTAATTAAAATTAAATATAAAAAATATATTTATTATACTATTATTTTGTATCAATAAATAAATTAAAAAAATCCTTTAAGATAATCTAAATTATAAAACTTTTTTTTTTTTTAAGTAAGAGCACCTATAGGGGGAAGGGAGAAGGGAATGATTTTTCAAAATTTTATATCTAACTTTTTTTTTTTTTAAGTGCATCTAAACGGAGAAAGTCTGAAAGTGAGGCGGTGGCTGGCATGGTAATCACGCGTTCCCAGTGAGGCAGTGTGATCCCTAAGGCCA